AATTTAGTTTATTTAATAAAAAATTAATTTTTACTATAAAAATATAATTTTAATAATTTTTTTAATATTACTAGCTTCATACTGGTATAATATTACACAAATTTTATTATTTTAATTATTTTAAAAACTACTGTATAGAATTTTATGATTTTTTTTTATTTAAAAACCTTAGATTTAATAAATCTTTTAAATGGAGTCTTTGCCTTGAAAATAACCTTACGGTATATGATATTGTAGAGTCATTTTCAAGGCAAAGACCCCAAATAATTTTTAGCTTGATATCTTATTTATTTAGGTTTATATGAATTTTTAAAGTGTCCACAATACACTGGTAGCCTCCTGTATCTGCTAGCCAATAGGTTACATATTAGTCACCGAAATCCAGTATAATCTGTATAATACGCACCATACCAATAGCTTACCAATACTTGACGCATATCAGTAACCTATTAGCTTGGCATATATTAGTAACCTATATATTGAATATTTCTACTAGATTTTGATAATCTCAATATAAGATTTTAGCTAGCAAATATATATTTCTACTAGATTTCAGTGACCTCTATATAAGATTTCAGCTAGCAAATATATACATTTCTACTAAATTTTAGTGACCTCTAATAGCAAATATTTTAACAATAATAATCTAATTATATATTCCATTATGTATATTAACTATTTCAAAAATTAAATTGGCAAATCATCATCATAATCGATCAAAATCGATTACATGTTTATTTATTTATTTATTTAATTTACAGTTATATAAAACATATTTTAAAAAAACTATAACAAGCATTTGCATATACAATATATTAATGCCAAGACAGCTACAAACACACAATCTAAATAGCACACCTAATTGAAACAACTTTACTAAAATAATAATAATGACTATCCAATCTAAACAACACATTTAATCAAAATATCTAATTGTTAAAGATTACTTAAAAAGAAAAAAATTAATAAAAATGACAAAATACAATCAAGACTTTACAAAGTAAAAAAGATGTTTTTAAACAAAAAAGAAAACTATAAAAAAGGATACAATAAGAGTCATAGTAATAATGGCAAAATTCAAAACCATATTATCAACAAAGTTACAATAGCAAGTGATAACTTATTGCTATTTGAAAAAAAGAAAAGAAGTTAGTATGCAAATGTTAAAAAGAACAAGCAACAAAAGAAAAAAAAAACTAAAATGCTAGTAATAACAACAAATCTGATAAACTATATTAATAAAATCATAATGGCAAGATATAACTTATTGCTACTTGAAAAAAAGAAGAGAAGTTAGTATACAGATGTTAAAACCAACAAGCAACAAAAGAAATAAAAAAAGAATATGACAAATATTAGTAATAATGACAAATTTCAAAAAATTATATTAATGAAGTCACAATAGCAAGAAATTATCTACTGCTACTTGAAAAAAAGAAGAAAAATTACTATGCAAATGTTAAAACAATCAAGTAATAAAAGAAAAAAAGGATATAACAAAACATCCAATAATAATGACAAAATCTAAAAAATTATATCAACAAAATCATGATGAAAAAAAATAACTTATTGCTGCTTGAAAGAAAAAAAAAAGTTAGTATACAGACACTAAAACAAACAAGCAAAAAAAAAAGCCAATAATAAAACAACAAATGACATAGTAACACTATTAATAATGTGAAGCTCAATACAAAGACAAAACAAGACAACCTACTATTATCTAAAAAGAAAAAAAAAAGTAAGCAAACACTAAAAGAAGTAAAAGAAAGAAGAAAAAAAAAACAAGAATGCAAGAGATAGAAACACTATTACACCAGTATTAGTACTATCATTCTAATGGTAAAATGTAACGAGGTCATCTTAAGCAGCACTGGTACTAGCAATGAAGTATATCTAGATCTGTAGAAAAAAAAACACCAAAAAAGAATTAGCAAAAAAACAAACATAACTAATAATAACAAATCATCTCATATTGACAATGAGATAGTACTAGCAGCTTCAACAATGATCTCAATAGTATATTAGCAAAATATATTAATATAATCTTATGTAAGTTATTACGCCCCCGAAATATTGCATAATAATTACAGTCTGGGCATAATATTGCACAATAAATTGCAAAATATTGCACAATATACAGTCATCCCTCTCTATAGTTACCTCCTCTATAGTCACAACCTCAATATAATCACTTTTTTTTTTTTACCAATCTTTTTTATATTATTTATACCTCTATATAGGCACAATCACCTTATAGTCACTATCACATTTTTTTATTAACCAGTCATATAATATCTATATAAAATTACTCTCTATAAAATCATACTATAAATATAACAAATCAGATACCCAATTTTATTTTACCTTTTACTGTATTATATTTCTTAGCATAATGGTTCAAATATCCTTTAATTTTTGTAGATTAGCCAGATCTAGTATTTGTACATATATACACGTGCACGTAATAGTTAAAGTCTATAACTAATAACTTACCATAACTATTTTCAGTTTTTATAAATTGATAAGCCCTTGTGTACATATGTACGCTCACATGTAGAACTTTTGAAGTACCGTAACTGATCGCATTGTTGAAAATGTGGTTTAATTTGTAAAGTTATGCAGGATCCGTAACTAAATTGTTAACGTTTAGAGAAAAGGCATAGTGAAGAATCAGGGTAATAAGGATGTTTTGGATTTTAGAAGGAGTTGGGTAATTAGATTATTTCAGGTAATAGGGCCTATTTGGGAGTTATAGACGATTCTGGCAAAATAGTCAGTTCTTGTAGAGTAAAATAAAGGTGCTTGGTCTCGCTTATTTAGTCATGACAAAACAAATATAATATAGTTAAGGCGGTTTGTTATTTGCGTATACTTTTATTACCACACAGCATTTAACATTTAGATTAGACTTTTTTTTATTTATTTAAAGGTCCAGGTCTCTCACGATTCGATAGTCAGAATTACTTTCGAATAAATACCAACTTTATTAATCACATTCGAATTTTCTAACTCTGCTGCTCTCAAATAATATTCAAAGGCTTTCTTCTTGTCTTTTTTAACACCAATATCATGTTAATAATTGTAACCAAGTTGACAAAGTTGTTCAGAGTCTATTTTTTTAAGAAAAAAAATTTTTATACACTAAATATATAATCGATTGATTTTTTTAGAATATGGTGAATACGAAGCTACAGTACTAGGATTCTTGAAGAAAAGATAAGATTGAAGTTTGCTTTTTAGATTTATCTTTTTCATATTGCTATTCTTTGAGCTTTTTTCGTAATATTATTAACTCATTCTCATTAAACCCTTTTCCAACATCAAGACCCTCTTGGTACTTTATAACTTTCTCTAATGCTTCAACAGCCTCCGTTATAGTTATTGGGGTGGTAGTGGTTCTTCGTTGTCATCATCATCATCAGTTTCATTATCACGAAATTCATCTATTACTATTTCAATAATTCCTTCATCTGTTAGTATATCTTCTGTAGTGACTGGTTGATTAATCATTTGGATATATTCTTTGATGTTATTCAATAATTCTTGAATTACTAGGTCAGTTTCAGCAGAAAGGTCTTCAAGTAGCAAAGAAACATCATCGTTATCATTAGTAGTCTTGTCTTGAAGTTCGTAATCTAATTCACTTTCCTCCTGTTTACTTGTTTCTGGCATAATTTTGGTAGCTCTCTAACAGTTTCTTATAGTATTTTTACTAACTTCCCCCCAAGCATCAGAAATAAAATCGATAGCTTTTTTCAAGATAAGTTTTCTACATTATATATGTATAAAACTGTTAGTATCAATTGATTTAAAATAGTATTGAATTTTATATTCACTTAAGGTTCAGGTTTCTGATTTCGAATTAAATTAGCGATATATTAATTTTGTAATCAGTGATCTATAAATCCTATTTGCTTTTATTTGCAAGCCTATTTAACAAAACAAATAGGATTTTTCAAACTCCCACTTATTTTCAAAATAAGTTAACTCTGAAACCCCAAATGTCACTAATACCTACTCTATCTAAATTTTAGTTTGACATATAATATATACTTGGGCCCGAATGTGCACGCTTATAGTAGGTGTACTTATAGAGGTTTTACTGTAAATTCTTACCTCTGATCCCTATTTTTTTCAAATTGATTAAGCAAATAACGACAATACAGATTTTTATATCTTGACTTAAAACTTTTGATTATTCCAGCATCCATGAGCTAAAGGTGTGCTGTCATATTCGGGGGAAGGTAATGCACTGTGACATTTGTAAAGTAAAAATTTTCCGAAGCCCGTCTTGATTGGCTTGAACGAGTAGGATTGGATCTTTGAGATCCTCGGGACCTTCCTCGAGATCTTCTTCGGGACCTTTCTTGGAACCTTCCTCGTGGGTTTCTTTGGGGCTCTTGTTGTTGATTTTCAATTTCTTTGGTAGAATTATTTCCTTTTTATTATTATTAATAATTTTTTTTTTTTTTAAGCGATCCTGTTTTTATTTATTTGAACTACTATGTGATACAATAAGTGCCGAAGTACCTTTG